AATGGAAGTGGAGACTTAGGCGAGAAAAATGAAATGCAGTTTTTTTGAGACTTGGTTGTTAATTTGGGCTGTTAGTTTACAGACTCCATTTACCTGGGGCAAGGGGGATGTTTTTTCAGAGGGAAAGGGCCTTGAGTCCTTTCAAGTGTTTTGTGCATACACTGATTGCTTTCTGTGTCGTAAGGGTGAGCCGTGGCCATTTAACAGCTAAGGATGAATGGGGATGTGTTACTGTGCCAGTGTTTCAGACTTAACTTTTAAAAAATAAGCTGTTCTTCATGTACTTTGAAACACCTAACACTCAGTCTTTTCCTTTATCCAATCTCTTGTTTACTTAATTTCTTAAAATTGGGTAAAGTGAACCCTCTCTTGATTCTTACTGCAATAGATTTAGTAGTCCTAGTTCCTTTAATGTTTCATATAAATCTCAGGATGCAAAAAATTTAGCTTGCATTTTTACAGAAATTTATTGAAAGCTATAGATCAGCTTATTGGGAAGTGACAGGAAAAGAGTACAGGGGACGCCCCCATGTTCACTGCAGTCCTTCTGAATACTGCTTCACCACCTTGTTGATTGAACACAGAGGTTCTGTACATTTCCGTTACGGTCTGTATCTAGTAGGTTGGTTTAGGCTTTCTGAGTGACATTTATTAAATGACACTGATTCTCACCATCTTTAGCATACAGAGGATGAGCGAGGAGTATGTGTGTGTGAGTGATAATTCGGTATCCTGCAATAGACCTGAGCTCGTTATTTTAGCCATCTGGCATAGTCTTCAGGAATTTCTACACAGACATGTTATCTGCATGGAATGTTTCATTTCCTCCTTTCTGTCTGTACACCTGTTCCCTTTTCGTGTCTTACTGTGCCAGTGACATCTTCCATTGTGGTGGCAGTAAGGAAAGACATCCTTCACAGCTTCGTAACAGTGAGACAGACTTTTGGGTTTTCATTATAACAATGTTGTAAGGCTTTTCTCAGGCGTCTTCTTTCCATGTTCAGAAAGTGCCCCTCCCAGTTTGCCAAGATTTGTTTTATGGTGAACGAGTGTTGGGTTTTACAAGATGCTTTACCTCCATCTATGAATGTAATCATGTGATATTTTTTCCCTGCAACTCTTGCTTCCATTGGCTTTATTCTGAATATCATGCTGGTCTGGCGTTCTAGGTAGAATAGCCAGGCCATGGAGTGTAAATGTTCATTGGTACCAAATGTATTACAGCAGTCCCTGGTTGTATTTTGTTGAGAAAGTTGTCCTCTATAATTTCTTGATCGATGACGTATAATTCTAATTATTCTTTTGTTTCTTTTTAGCAACTATCGGGGTGCTAAGTGGATAGGAATTGTAGTTTAAGGCATTTGCTAACTTTCCAGTTTATATACTCATTTGCAGTATCCCTTCACTGTCTTTGATGGCAGCAGGATTTGAACGTATGCCATTTCGGTGCCGAGTTTGGAAATAGGTCAGCTCTCTTTGCCAGTCTTAGGCATTTATCAACTTCATTGATCATTAAAAAAACAGCACTTTACTGATGTTTCTCTGTACTTTCGTTTTTATTTCCCTGATTTTGTTCCTTTTTGTTCTGCTTTGCCTTGGGTATGTTTTGCTCTGTAAGCGTCGGTATGAGTTGTGATGAAGAGCTTTGTGTCAGCTTTTCTAGTGGGAGCGTCCTAAAGCGTGGCCTCACCACACCAAGCAGCTTTCTCCCACAGGCTTGCGGCTGGCCGGCTGGCCTGTCCAGGTGTCCTCACACAGCACGGGTGGGAATGCTCTCAACTGTGACTGTCGGGCCCTTTTCTTCAGTTCGGTCAGCTTCTGCTTCAGATGTGAGGTCATGCTGTCGGCTGCCCCCGCCCCAGCGTCCTGCGCAGTTGTCACATCAGACAGTGCCTCGGTGCTGTCATTTCCTTGCCTTGGAGGGACACCTAACCCAATGCTAACATGATGCATGCGTCTCGGCTAATGTTTGCATCATTCATTTCCTTCTTTACGGTTTTATCTTTTTGATTTTTTTTCCCCCTAAACATTGGATAAGTCTCCGTAGCAGCATCTATGCAGAGCAAACTCTTGAAACCATTCGGCTACTTCCTTCTAACTGTTTGGATTTGGAATCCATGTTAGTGCTTGCATGTATGCCTTGGCTTCCTAGGTCTTCCCTTGGGTGCCTCTTGTCTGGATTTTGCTCTTTGGGTTTTGGGTTTCCTTAGTTTCCTTCAGCACTTTCCAGAGTGGCCTTTGCGTATTTCTGCGGCTGTGTTGCGCGTTTGCCCTGTGCACCGCGCCGTCTCGACTTTGTTAGCACTTCAGTGTCTGGGAGCTGCGTCTCCACCGGACCCTTGGCACCCCTGTTTCTTCATAGACTTGTTCTGTGCTCCCACGCCC